TGCAGRAGATTATATTTATTTGAGGAAAATCCACCAACTTTATAAATGCTGCATTAAATCTAGTAAAATAAAGAAAATATTGGAACAACTTAGCAAATTATTAAAAAAAAAAACATCGAAATAACAATTTTTACTAATATCGATAACTTTAGATTTATTTTTCAAATCAGTACCTCAGTGCTTGTATTCTCCATTTGAATCATTTTTTCTTTTATCTAGAAAACTGCTGTTTTTAAATCGCTAAAATTTGGAGACTATTTTCACACGCATTTTCATATGCATGTATGTAGTGGAGCTAGGTACACTTGTACTTACTCTATTGTCACTATCTTATTTTCTTTCTAATACCCCGCGTGAGAACGCCTGCACTTGTATACCGAGTATATTTGTACTCTCATTTGTACTATATATATACACTGGAGTTGGTAAAAAAACAAATATTACTTTTTACTCAGAAAAAAATTTTCTTGGACACCTCTACGCAAGGATCTCCAAGTATGAGCTCTKAATTGTACCGGGAAAGTCCTCTCCTTGCAATTTTCTATTTTTTTTCTATATCAGATATACAAGTTCATATCATATATACAAAAAAATATATATTTTRCGATTTGATTTTTTCACGAACCTTTCTGTTTAAGAGATAACCGCCGTTATCGGATCATTGTAGGATAGAGCTGCCACCAAATTTGGCACAGAAAATTACCCAAGTCAAGCCTACGATTTCCGAGAAAATCCTTCAGATCTGATCTCTATATCATATAGCTGCCATAAAAACTGAGCGATCAAAATCATGCTCTTATATGGAAAACTCCTTTATTTGACCAAATAACTTCATGAAATTTGGCATAGCTAATTATCCAATCCATCGCTATAACCACCGTAGGAATTTTTCAAATCGTAGTACTATAACTTATAGCTGTCATACAAACTGACCGATCAAAATCAAGTCCGAGTATGGAAAACTTTTTTACTTGAAAAGATATCTTCATAAAATTTGGCATGGATTATTTTCCAAAGCAACGCTACAAACTCCAATTAAATTGTTCAGATCGGCTTACCATAGCATATAACTCCCATACAAACTTGCCTACCAAAAATATGTCCTTGTTTTATTAAACTTACTAATGTTTGCTTACTTTTTTAATTAAATTTCTATATACAAAAATAGTTCCACTTTCTACATCTCTGCACAAAACTTCAACGCGCACTCATACGCCATGTCGCACAGCTATAACGAAAACGAGTATGTATGTACTGTGAAACTTACGAAATGCTCGTCAATGGCATTGCTGCTTGAATTAAGATATATCGTTCGTAAATCTAACATTGAAAAAATCGTTTAATCTAGACKTTAGCACTTGTATTAAATTAACTACAATTTAGAAGCTTGTGTGTCTGCATATATACATGCACATATGTGTGTGTGTATATATCTTTAGAAACATAGCTGGCGCAAAAACAAAGCAGCCAATTAGCGACAGTCACTTTTTCACTTGGCTGCCATTTCTTCTGACTCTGGAAAGGCATGATAGAAGTGCTTGTGCACTAATACAAAGTTAGTTATATGTGCCGTTTTTCACTTATTTGTATGGCATGTGTATATCAATTACATAGCAATAGCAACATATATGCACATACCTCATTATGTGAAGAGAGTTTCTATAAAAAATCTTATATACATATACATATATATATATATGATAAATCATGTTATCACACATATGTATTTAGGAAAAATCAMGTAGAATTGTTTTTCTTTTTATCGAATTTGTATGTGTGTCTCTTTGYGGAGCTCACAACTACTTTCACACATACAATTGCAAAATTGGCGCACTATGAAAACCTCCACCACCTTCTCAATTCAATGCCAAGACATATATTTTTGACATATGTAAGCATATTGGGGATGCCACTGATTGAGCCGCCGTTTGATGTCGACTTCTACATTTACTCGTCATTTCTCACTCGCTACTCGGTGACTAATTTCACATACTATTTCTTATATGACTATTGTCAATTAGTTACATGATACAATGCTTATATACAAACAAACTTACTTAGCTGTGGTACCCGAAAAAAAACAAATATATTTAAGGGAATTTGGTTTAAAAAAAGTAAAGCCAAATAAAAATATAGCACAGCAGGCAGTAATTAAGACAATCTGCAGCGCTACATATACATATAAATGTTTAGCTGTAAGAAAAATTTCTAAGCTGCCTAGTTACTAAATATTAATCACAATTTAACGGTCAAGTGAGGAAAAGTTCGTGCACCGCTGCAAATAAAATCGCAAATTTCRCCATTTCAACGCGAAGGAAATTAGTTTAAGAAAATTGTATAAGCAAATTTGAGTGCAAGTGAGTGCTAAAGCGACGCCATTGAAGAGTTATGTGACTTCTAACCAGATCAAGCTACTGTTGTTGTACATAAATCCATATATACAAATAGTCACCTATACACACACTCGTAATATTTGCGCTCTATCCATATGTGTATTAGGTATAAATGTACCTAATGCCAGTCACTTGTGACGGTCAATGGCAATTTTCACTTGTTTGTTTTACTTCATGTTTTTATTTTATTTTTTCTATTTTGCTTTTCGGTTTTGCGTTCCACTTTTCTGGATTTCTTAATTTTACAAAACAAAAACATACACGCTTATAAACTACTCATGCGTGTGTGTGTGCATTACTCTGAAATTAGTTTGCATTCCTTTCAATCTCAGCAGCAGCAGCATAATCAACTTTATTATATTAAAGAAATGTGCATTTTTTATGTTTTCTCATTTTTGTGTGAGGGTTATGCGACCAAATTCACTTAGTTCAAACGCCACTTATTAGARTATGTGCTCGCATTAAGCTCTGTATTGTGTTATACAAATTTGCTTATGCAAATATTCGTATCTGATATCCAGCSGTTCATCCGCGCGCAGAAAATCTAGTAATTGTTGTTAGTGTCAATGTCACAATTTAATAAATATTAATTAACAAATTAACTTTAATCACAATTAAGCTCAGCGCTTAACTGGCATTAACTGATTGCAGTGAGTCACCTGTTAAGTATAAAATGTTACTTTTTCTGGTGTGTGGCATTAGATGAAGGAAACACGATGTTATTCAGAGTAGAAATAAGAAAACAACGTTAATCGCGCCAAAGCTAGAATGCCCTACGTAAGGAAAGACACAAGCAAAGATGTTTTCACACAAGAATGGTTCAGTTTGGGTGGCAGCTATTTGCTATAGTAGTCCGATCACAAAAATTTCTTCCAATTTCGTAGCGTTGCCTTGGAAAATAATTCATGTCAAAGTTCGTTAAGATATCTCGTTAAATGGGAAAGTTTTCCATACAAGCACTTGATTCCAATCGTTCGGCAGCTTTATCTTATAGCGGCCCGATATCAGCAATTCCAACAAATAAACAGTTCAAAAACTGCATATACACACAGACAGACAAACATGACCAAACCAACTCAAGTCGTCAACAATCGTGGAAAACTTAATACACCCAATCAAGTCGCTGGTTATATAAGTGCTTCTTGATCATGCAGTAGCCAGTGAAGAATGCGACAAGTACCCTGAGTTTGTCCCTAGGTAGGTTGATTACATATTTAAACCTGCTGAGGCTGTTAACAATACCTTTCTCTGCTTCCTTTTTCCTTGCGGAGCAGCTCTTTTATTTTATGAGGACCCACCGGAATGAAGGGTTCAGGTCCCACCATGTTAGTGGATACTGCAGAACGAGCGAGCTCACTGTTAAAGTGCTTTATGACCACAGATAATTCATAATTCTACAAAACACTAATCCGGCTATAATGTTACAGTCAAAGGGGAATGCTTTAGATCCATGATTGATGATTTCATGACTGAATTAAAGGATGTTGATGTGGACAAACTTTGGTTCCAGGCAGCATGATAAATTTTTCTTTGCTGGCGTCCAGACCGTTGTACCAAAGATACCTTCTTTTCTCACCGTTAAAGTCGCCAAGCACGATGTTGACATCGTGGCGGGCAGCTCAAATAGGTGCGCTCCAAGCGCTCAGGGAAGCGACAGCGCAAATAAGTGATATATTGAAGAACTTTAACTCACCGGGACAAATTCCAGGCGACAGAGTCTATCTCCCTCCACTGTTGTAAATGTCTCTTGGTCAGAGGCACCTTAACAATTAAGGGACCGGACATTCCAGGTGCATGCCCTTAAATCGTAATCCTTAATAMGTTTGCAGTGGTCGTCATCAAAAATGGGTCTCTAATTGGAGACTGTTTGCTTTTTTTCATTGGTAGTATTTTTTTACATGGCGCGTCACTAACTCAGCGTGCAATCCGGGGGAGGATTCGTCTACTCACATTAGCTCGCCTTCAAACGGAGGTATTATGGCTAAGCAGAGGATTCTTGGTCTAAGRCCGGAAGTCGTGAGTTGCTTGAGCCATATGCAAAAAAATCGGTCCTGGCTAATCCCAAATTGATTTTTTTGGAACACATTGCTCTTTTGAAGGTGTATACTCAATATAGCTAAACCAAGTCCGGCTTTAAAGACTTTTTCAATGGAGGTAGCTTGACACTCTTAGGAGTTTGTTAAAATGGCTCGTTAAATATAATATCATAGGCCGAAATCAATAGAACTTTAAAAAAAAAAATCCTTTATAAAGGCCTTACTCGCTCAAAGAACATTTGTGAATGCATGGGGAGAACCGAGTACTAACGCACTTTCAAATATTATAACACTGATAYTTATAGTCTAATATTCATCGAGCTACGAATAATCCCACTTGGAGAACTAGAAACACCGGTCCGTTTTGTTGAGCGCAGAACTTATAAGTATATATGCKGTTTGAGAAACTATTTGTTATTGGAACAAAACACTGCTTGAAGTTAGATTCGAAATATGCCGTAAACAAAGCAGCAATTCGTGCCAAATTTGCATAGTTATTGACTATCAATCTATATACTACTAGACATTTAAGACTATGTATAAAGCGTGTAAAAATCATAATAATACTCACCGCCATACATGACGAAYAGCGTTATCTTCAACATTATCAAATTCGGATTTATGCCATTGCGCCGACAGAATTCGCCAAATTTCGACGGYTTCACCTTCTCTACCGGCACCATGTCAATGGTCTCGGTAGCAGTCTCCTCACCACCGATTATTGCCATTTCGTATGCTACGCGTACACGCTGCCGTTGGTAATATCACAATTGCAAGTTTTATTATATCGGTGAAATGTTTAGACCTTAGTGAGGCGCCACCGCTGCACCTTTGCTTGTTGACGCTTAYGCGACGCGCTGAGTTGTRCGGCGCGCGCAGCTGCTTCACTGCACTACTGCTTCTCTACACTACTTCACCACTTGGCAGTGGGTCCAGTAAATTATGGCGCTGAATGTTTGCGYGCCGCCACCGAAATGTAAACACCGTAAATATAACAAACTCCAAATGCGCAGTGCTGCCGCCTGGCTCTGACACTAGTTGGAAGTTGTGGGATGCTGGTTGCTGGTTGCTGCAAGCTGTTTGAATGTTGAGCGTATTGGGAAGGGTGGGCGCGTTGTGAAGGGTTGACTTGTTATGAATAGTTAGGGCGTTGCGAAGAGTGGGTGCGCTGTGCAGAGTGAGCGCCTTGACGAAATGCCGCGGTCGGTTTGGTATTCTACTAACGTATGTGGGTTTTAGTTGCCACAGTATAGCTTTRCGCGCGTGTGTGTGTATATTTTATGCCGTTTTTATGAAWTAAAAAGAGTTTGATCTCGCAATTGTACCGAGTTAAATACGCGCTTTTGCGTCKACACATAGACTCCCTCACTGTAATTTCAGCGCCACACACATACACAGTCGCAGTATTTGTATTAAGGTAGCTAAAAGACATACGTTAGGCCGCCCAAGCAACCTACTGAGTAGTCTTTGTGCACAAGTGTTCAACAAAATTGTTTCTACTGTCAKGCAATTGTATTGGTACGCTGTATATGTGTGCCGTTGCGATCATGTATTGATATATATATTTGCTATATATTCTATGTGCGACACAATGACTCCGCACACTCGCTAATACGTTGATTTAGGTGTACACTATTTGTATGCAAGTTTTCAACAGTGCTTCTAAAGCTCCATGTATATGTATGTGTATGTGTTTCCAGCACAAGTATGATGAAGTATATGTGAGCGCGCGATGAAACACTTGAAATTAAACGTCCGTTCGTCTTGATTAAATTCAATTTAAGCAGATAATCAGCGATTTATTTCAATTCCATTCACAAAACAGACTAACTAAAAAAAAATAATAAATAAAATCACTCAACGAAAAAGTAAAGTCCGCATCTAAGCGGCCACTTTCTGCCGTCACACTGCTGCGCTATTGCGTTTATTATTTTTTTTATTTTTATTTTTTTGCTCACACGTTTCTTTCACTAGATTTTCGTACGTTCCTGTTGAGGAAAAAAAATTATGCAATGGTGTTAGTGTATGTGTGCGTGTATATGCATAGTGTGTGGGTTTGTGTGCGCTCCTGAGCTTTTAAGCTGTAAGCTCCGCTTTCAATTTACGTGCGCTTTTAATCCAATAAATGTTCAGCAAATGGTCGCGGACAACGTTGTTGGCATTGAAAAAGTGAACTGCTGCTCGGCGAGTAGTTATGATTAATTGTTTTTTAATTCGTAAATTGTCGTTTTCTCTAATTTAAACACTGCTCAGTTATATGTATTTTTCACTTTTCGGCTAAAAAAAAAGTCCTTTTTTAATTTCCTTTGATTTCTTAGTACACTATATACTATATATAGTTTGATATTTAGCACTGGAGATGTTGCAGAATTTTTAATTTCGCTTTCAAGCTTATTAACTGTTATTTACAGCGTTCGTTTCACATTTTTTTACTTAAGCACCACAAAACAACTTCATTTAATATTTTATGCAATAAATTGCTAAGTCTGAAATAATTCTTTATTACTTTTTTATACATATGTATATTCCACAATTTATTGCTTTACACTGCACTTTAAGTAGCTCTTTTCTGTTTTTTTTTTTCGTTTTTTATATTTTTTTATTATTCAATTTTTTTCAATTCACCCGCTGCCTTGCAATGCCACTTTAGAACGTTGTCTGCCGCCTGCCACACTCGCTGCGTATGTCCGAACAAAGACTAAATTCGTTTTATCACTCAGACTAAAGTTTTATAAACAGATCTTATAYTTTTCATCATCACACTGCTCGACTTTTGCTCACTGTCAACGCGCCGAATCATCTTTCATATTTCCTTACGATCTTTGCTGGCTGCGTCGTTCAACTATCACCGCCTACATATTATTTCGCTCGTTACTATTCATGCTCGTTTCCACAATTAACTGTGCTTGTGCATCTTAGTACGTGTACCCTAGGATAGCGTTACTCGTACTAGCTAGTATTGCTGATCATCACGCTGTTTGTTTTTTGGAAAAATCGGATTTTGTGTATGAGATTTTGCGATAAGCCATTTAGTGRGTGATTTTTGCTTACCTAGTGGAATTGCATGGAGAAAAAGATAGGAGATAATGGAAATGCTGATAAAATCGCGCACAAAACACACGCTAGTTCCGATTATGATAAGGCATATTTGTCGAGATGCAACAACAACTTAATACAGCAGCGAATGCACAGTGGAGTGACGGCAGCGCAAATAGGTTTCCATGGAAGTAGCTGAAGACAGTGAATTTTGCTGTTATCCAACTTAATATCTTACCGAATTTGAAGGTCTAAGGGCAGTATCTCAATTTTAAGGGAACAATTAAAGCATATGGTTGATTTCAGGGATTCTAAATTGTGACAAAAAAGTATCAGTAAGTTATCATTAAATTCCCCGGGGAAATAATATTTCAAAAATATTATTTTGCTGAGTTAATATGACTCTCCTTAATTACTATACGAAATATGAGGGCGACTGATAAAAAACATTAAAAAAGTGAAGGATACAGCGCTTAGAAATCATCAGGCAAGTGTCAGAGATATGGCAAGAGAGCTCGACATCTCTCACTAGTCCGTTCGAATGATTTTGGTGGATGTTTGGGTATGAAAGGCGTTCTTGCTCGACTCGTCCCGATAATAATAAATTTTCTTCAAAAAGAGTACCGTAAACGGATCTCTTTGGACGAATTCCCTCAGATTTATGGAGAGCATTATAACAGCCGACGAGACTTGTGTTTATGAGTTTGACATCCAAACAAGTCAACAATCATCGGAATGGTATCCGAAGGAAACCTAGAAAAAACCGAAAAAAGTTGTCCGTCGACGAGCAAGATTTTTCGGCTTAAAATTAACTCAAAAACAAAAACAAACAAACTCTGAAAACAGCGATCCGAGGAAGACGCGCTTTCAGTTTTTAGAGCCACTAGCTAATTAGGTCTGTCTAACGACACACTTAGACATTTTAGAAGCAATAAAAACTCTTCACTCTATTGTCTTCTCTCTGAACAAGTCCGTTCTTATATGTGTAACCTCCAAGATGGATTTCTTCTTTTGTATGGTTTCACAAAGACTACATATACGTGCGATCTTTGATCAGCCATCTAACCAAACTTAACCTCTGAGACGTTCCAAGATACTCACGACGGATAATTTCGATTCTTTTCCTAGATAAAGCCTTACATTCGCATAGAAGATGCTTTATAGTCTCCACTGCTTCTGCCTCCTAATGACTTCTACAACAGTCATCATATGACGTTCATGGTGTACTAGTATGTCTACCAATTAGATAGTGACTTGTTAGCACACCTACTATTCATTCGTTTTGAATTTTGCGCGACCCATATTCCATTCATGCTGCGTTTGCCTGCTTATTGACCAAGTTATCGACTGATTCCAGAGCGACTGAGCTATAAATGTAACATGTTTGTCGTTTAAATATTAGCAAGTTTTCCGGTATCTAATTGTAGCGTAGTGCCTTTTCTCTCTAAGACTTGATACTCCTGATATGTTGCAGAACCTTCTGTAGATTTATTTTAATGAAAAATGAAAAGTGTTAGATCCACTAAGAGACCAAGGCATTATTACACTAACTTTGAAGAAACCCTAACAGACTTTAGTGTCATTATATAAAAAAATGCTTATGAATACGATCATATCTCCAAAGCTATTATGAAAATTAACTTCAAAATTTCGAAAAATATTCTCAAATACATGTATGGTTGACATAACTTTTTTTATTCAAAAATGGTTGTAATCGCTTAAAACATATTGCTAGATTTTGAGTCAAAGAAAATTTGTTTCTTAACTTTTTTGGCATCGTTTGAAACCATTTTCTATTATAATTGACCCAAGGATTGTCGAGTCAAGTCTTATTACATATCATTCTACACTTTTTATTATATGGAGAGCAAGGTCAGGCAGATTTGGTTTTAATAACAAAAATGCATTGCCGCTATTCAGTTATTCATCCCAACAAATCGCTKATGTTATTGTTATTAGCAACCAATGAACCCGGAAAAAACTGGTTCATTTCGACTTGTCGCAACGCTCAAGCTGTAACGGAGTCACCGCATGGCAGTTTGGTTTTTATTGTCTTACGTATAAAAATATCGAGCAGCAAGCTTCAAGACCTGTATTGAGAGGCAAATTTACTGTAAACGGCCGTCTTATATGCAAAGCGTTTGAAGATCGAAAATAAAATAATACAAATAATTKCAAATTTATTTATATTTAGCGAGCTTTCACCTAATGTGTTTATTATTTAGAATAACATATATTTGTTCTAATTTAGTATAGCATGTATTTGTTGTAGAACAAATTAAGCGCGCTACACGAAAAAGTTGATCGATTTACTTGCAAACATTTTTGAAATGTATGGGTTTATTTTTGGCATCTAATATTATACATTCTTTAGTATTGTATCCTACTTTTGCAAAATTACCATTATTTAAATTATWATTTTTTATTTTGGTACCAAATCTACCCATAACCCAAATACTTTATCTAATTCGTTGTATTTACGCGAACTTTTCCCTAAATTTAAGAGTTATGGCCTGAAATTTAGTACACGTATTTTTCTCTTCAAGTAGCTGCTTATTTRTCGGAACTGGTGAAATCGGAACATTATAGCATATAGCTACCATACAAACTGAACGATCGGAATCAAGTTCTTGTATGAAAAGCTTTTTTTGAAAAGATATCCTCACAAAATTGAGTATGGATTATTTTTTTGAAGTCAATGTTCTATGTATGATGTTGTTCTAATCGGATCACTATAGCATATAGCAGCCATACAAACTGACTGATCATACTCAAGTYTTTGTATGGAAAAAAWTTKTATTTAACAAACTATCTTTCCAAAACTTGGCGTGGATCAACACTACAACTTCAGAAGAAATTTTCCAAATCGGGCCACTATAACGTGTAGCTGCCATACAAACTCACTAAATGAAATCGAGAATAATATTTTTTCTTGGTATAAAAAATACGTAAGTTAAGAGTATTTTAGTTTCGCTGAAACATTAACGTTTTTATCTTATCTTACGTACCACCAACCCACCATCAGCCGCCATCAAATGAGTAATTCCTTGCGAGACACAAAAATACGCTTGGTTTAGCCAGCAGTTCCTTAAAAATTTGTGTTTGCACAATTCCAACACTTCTCCGGAAGATAAAACTTTCATGCATTTCGTTAAGCAAAATACCAAGAAAAATTGATTATTTCGACTATACACGGGTGCGAATTTTRTCTAACTGCGAGCGGACCATGTGCGTTACGCGACTAATGAAAGGTGTGAACAGCCAAATTGCTGGTAATGCCAAAATATGCTCAAATGTTCACAAAATCACTATAAGCCAGGCGATGGCTTAGGCAAGTATGTGATTGATGTAATTTAATTGACTCACATTACTATGCACGCGCACATACATACATACATACCATTTGATTAAAATTGATTAATTTGGCGACAGTTTCTGGCTATTGGCTATCTATTGAAATGTGGTACCCCTTTGGCGTGGTCACCGTAGTGGTATTTACAAGCAAACTACTTACCTATACAATGTATGTACATATGTATAWTTCTAGTACACGTGGTGGACTCTTATCAGATTTTGACCATGTGCCGATCCGTATATGTACCCATCCCTGTATGTACCCTGTACCCTTAACGTTTACATTTCTACTTTTCRCATTGAAGGGTTATATAAAGTTGAAAATCAGAAATGTTTGAAATTTTTTGTTTTGCTGAAAAGTCATTTTATTTAATAAATAGATAAAAAATAATGTACAWTCAAAGAATTTAATGTACTTTAATAAACAGTGATTAATTTTTCTTAACTTTGGATTCCCTTGACGCCGCAGCCGATCTCTGGGAGCATCTCAGAAAAARTGTGTCTGGCAGTGAGCAAAATTTTTCTGCTTAAAATTATCTTAAAACCAAAACTGAAAATCGTATTATTATAATAGATTAGTASAGGTAACGAACGGAAGACTGATAAAAACGTTGCCAACATTTTGACCCAAAAAATTTTCAAAAATTAAAACTTTAGCTTTCAAGAAAAACAAAACAAACGAAATTACTATTAAACATCTTATTCGCTCAATTATTAACTGAAAATTACGGATATATCTAAGAAGCCTTCAATCATTATCTGAAAAATATATATAAGTAGCTGGTGTAAAAATTTGATGTCGACCGATTCAACAGTTTCGAATAAACTTTTACCTCCAACTCTGAAAACCGCCTTTCGAGGAAAACGAATTTGAAGTAGTGGTAGTCGATGACACAAAGTTTTAAACTTCTGCAAAATGTTTGCTAGGTAAACTAGCTCTCAGACGATGCAGATAAACCTTACGGAGGCCTATTTGAAAACCACCCTTACCAAAATCCTTCACTCTGGTCTCTATTCTCTGAATCACTTTTGATTTTTTCCTTTTAAATTTTTTAAGTGTTTAACAAGTCAGACTCAGCTAGTTTTATAACAAGTTTGTGGTAAGTGTCTAGTGCAGTGCGGCTCACTCGCCCAGTTGGCTCTCTACGGAGCGGTGGTGTCCCGTATTGAATATACTTATATAATATTAAAAGTTCGATGTTCACATCTCATCATCTACCATATATAATATGAGGTCCTCTTCCCACAAGTGGTTTGGCAAATAGAGTGATCTGYTAGTATAGTGTATATATTCAAACATATACATATATAAAATATCTATGTAGCATAGTATTGTATACAGATCGTAAATTAGTGTTTTGCTGACATCAATGTTGGCGTTGTCA